TATAACTAATGTTAATTTTTCTTTTTGTTTCTCTAGTGTTTATCCAAACAAAGCCTATAATTTAGGAAGTCATTTTTAACATAACTCCCAACATAAACTTTAATGAGATCATAATTTCATTTAATTCATATAATTAAAGGTGTGACAGGTTAAGATGAGTACTCATAAACTAAATTTTAATTATTTTTTATTTTTTACATGTGATGCCTAACTGTAAGTAAACTCTTATTTTATTTTTACTTTTTATAGTATGACCGGCCGACCATCTTGGCCTTTTATTAACGAATCTACTCCCTCTACATAATGATAAACGGCCCCTCTCCTTCTTTCTACAACTCCTCCTCTCTCTCTCTCACAATCTCTCTCTCTCTAGACTAGAGTAGGAATAGGTGCATTCGCTTTCTCTCTTTATATCTACAGAGGACTAATTAATGGGGGATAAGGCTACTTTGGAAAAGGCGAGAAGAGAGCTAGAAGAATTGTATCTGGGAGTCCCAGATGACTCAGTGAACCTCACCTTTCAAGACCTTGCTGATGTCAAACAACTACATGAAAAGAAAAGGACGTCCCAGATGGACCCCATTTCCGAAACCAATCCAAAGAGGGAAGAACCATCAGTGCCGTTAACCAAATTTACTAGCTTCCACACCAGCAGATCAGACGGCTTAGAACAACCGCCTACACCTACACATCACCACTACCACCACGGTAACAACGATGGTAACCATCACCACCACCAGCACCACCATATGGGTGGAGACAATGGCGCGCAAGGCGGCCATCGTTACACGCACCATCATCGTAGTGATCATCATGGAAGTCCGTATAGTCCCAGAAGGGACTTCGGGTTTGGACATGCAGATGACGTTAGCGTGATGAGCACGGTTTCCGTGAACACAATTCAGGAGAGAGGTGGACGACACCGCCCTGGGATTCCTCACTCCAAAATATGCACCATCTGTAGTGTCTATATCTATATCTTCGGTCATCGATGCCTGGTACATGCATGCATACATATATATATATATAGAATAATATCTAGCATATATCTTCAATGTGTGTGTGTGTATATATGTATTGTGATTTGAAAATTACTTGTGTGCAGGTATGTGGAAGAGTGTACTGCAGGACATGTGTAAGCGTAGGCATGGGAGAGATGCCGGAAGGAAGAAAGTGCGTCGAGTGTTTGGGGAGAAGATTCAGCCAAAGGTAGTAATTACAGTAACATTTAAGCATTTTTAATTGCATTATCAAATACATTTAATAAAAAATAATAATTTTAAGGTCGAATATTTTAGCCTATTTAATACTTTAGCTTCAAATATGGTTTATGTTTTGATCCCAGGTCACGCTATCAAAAGCCTTAATGGCTTCAGCTTAATGAATGGATTAGAGTATTCTGTCACTTTTAATTAGGAAAATAAAATAAATATTTTTACTGAACTATACAATCATGTGACAATTAATAATTATCATATACATTTAAAAAAAAAAAATTATTCTTTTAAAAAATTGACAAAAATACTTATTAAATTCTATTTATTAAAGTAACTACAAAAACAGACTCATTCTAATTAATATTTTCAAAGGTTTAGAATAGAAACCAAATCATGTTACATTATGCATAAAGAAGATAATTTGAGATGCATCAGCTAGCTGATGTGTACGTCAAGAATACATGACCAAAATCCAACTCGGGTCAGAATTTTGAATAAATTAATACAATTGATTAAATTAAAATGATAGTATTAGATACAATTCATTGAGCTTAGTTAGGTCTTTTCGAATCTCCTTAGTTTATTCTAGACATGATGGCCTGGCCTAGTAGGTCTTGAATTTCTCCGATTACAATGATAATCGACGTCTTGTCAACATTAACGATTTTATCAATTAATTAGTATCTTGGATTAAACGATTCATGTACACGTGGCTGCTAAGGATTCAATAATATGATTAAATTAAGAATAGGCCGGCCAAAGCCGGCAAACATTAATGCGTGGTCCTCACCAGTCACCACCAACCCATACATGTTTTACTTTGACGACAAAGGTTACAATATATATTTGAAATTCTTATATACCTTGTATTAAATAAATTTATATTTGTCTGAACAACCACAACTATATATAAAATAAAAAAAATTAAAAAAGATTAAATAAATTCTCCTGAAAATAATGAACGAGTATATATATATAAATTCTCCTGAAAATAATGAACGAGTATATATATATATATATATTACTAGTTTCTTATTTTTGTAGTTCACTAAAACATGCAGGTACATACAAAGAGCAGGACACGTAGGTTGTTGTATGAGGTATCCTAGCACGGTGAAGCAGCAAGAGCTCAAGTGGGCGGAGAAGGGGCCGAGGAGGAGCGGCGATCGGGGTTATGGCCGGAGCACCGTGATGTCATCAAGGTCAAGGAGTCCGATAACCCCTAGAACTCCCACCAGGGCTCATGCTACTAGCAGTCCTCCATCTTTTGTCATGAATTCACCTTATTCGACTCATTCTCCTACTAACCATCCTATCCCTTTTTAAGTAATTTACCTTAATATTGGTGTGGAGGAGGTTCCTCCTCATTGGTTTCCAGACAAGTATTTTTTTTATTATTATTATTTCATATGGCCATTATTAATGTCGTTGCTCGATTTTACTTGTTATATGTTATCTTTATTTATTAATTAATTAATGAGAAAAAGGTACACTTGTTTTGAAAAAGAAATATTCAGGAGTACCAAGTTCTAGTTAGTGAATGATCAATGGTTACAGTTACGGATCTACTATGAGTGACTCTCAGTAATGGCAATTGCCACCACTAATTTTTTTTTTTTTTTTCTATTATACCCTATTAGTTTTTTATTTTAATATATATACTTATAAAAATTTATTATTACTCCCACTAAAATTGAAACTTGTCTTATTTTTATAGATTAATGGCATTCACTAGTTCTTTTCTTTTTCATTTTAATTAACAACCTACGAGTTTACAACAGTTTAAATTTCAAATGTCCATTATATCTATCTTTTTCTTTTCTTTTTTTCCTTCTCAAGATTAACTCTATTTTTGTTTATTGGAGAATGAGATTCATATTTCACTTTCTTTACTCATCTTTTCAAAAAATAAATAAATAACATAATTACCCTTTAAAAATACATTCACACACCACAATTATTATTAAAAACAATAAATAAATAAAAATTTTGATTGCCCTCCCTTTTAAGTGTAATATTTTCATAAAAAGAAATTTCCAAAAATAAAAATAAAAAATGTTGATAATGTTGGTTTTTTTATCTTTTTTTTAATAATACATGTTTTAGCCTGAGTCACATATTTTTTCTTAATGTGTGACACTCAAGCTCCGCGCATTTGTCAAAATACTCTCACTTTCGCTCGGATCCCGTTATGTATGTATGTCTGTATATATATATATATACACACACATATGAATTAGTTTCTAACTACTAGTATTATTCCTAGGTTACAATCATATGTAATGGAGAATTAATGTACGGAGTAAGTTTCATGTGAGGAATGGGCCTTGGGCCTTGGGCGGCTATAAATAACTAGTGGGTCTACTCTACTTGTTAGGGATATGAGAAAGGTCCACTAGCAATCAATTACTTTGGTCCGGATGAGACATAAGTGGGCCACCTATCTCCTTCGTGATGGGACGTCCATTGCCCTCACAAACCCAATATGCCCATCAGTGTACCACGTGGCCGTGTTCTAAGGATAGAGACACTCTAATGTGATGACGCCTGTCATTTTAACCAAAAGACAGCCAAATCATATGTCAATACTAGCGGCGGACTAAATGACATTGGAGGCTTGGACTTTGCAATTTTGCCATGGCTGTCTTCTCCAAAAATAAGTTTGTTTTTACTGGAATTGCCGTGATTGACTGAGTTTTATACATGAATTGAAGTGGACTGAGTTTGATATAGATTAAATTTGAATTAAAGTCTATTTTTAACGGGTTTATATTTTAATTTTGAATTCAAATTTTAAAATGGAGTGGACGTGAATAAAATCTTCTCCCACGAATTCATATATAAAACGCAGATCTAACCAAATATGAATCTTAACTTTAAAATATGAACTTAGATTTAAATCACGTAAATCATTTATATTTGGAATCTCAGTAACTCTTCAAACATGTAAGCTAACATAAAATTTAATTTTCTCATTTCCTATCAAAATGAAAATGAATCCTTTGCTTTGATTTTTGATTTTGTTTATTTTCTATTTGTCTTATTACAAAATCAAACCCTCACATTTCATTTGAACTGAAAAGGTGCCATTTAGACTGAGTCATGAATTTAAAAATAAAAACAAAATCACATTAATAAAAAAGTTTCCAAACTATTTATTGAATTCAACCTAAATTGATCAATTCTTTAGCTTAGTTTTGTAACTTGCAAACGGAGATGGTTAAAAAGTATCAGCAATAATTCCCTATAGAACATAACGTATTCTTCACGTTGATGTAGATGGAAAGATGCAGATTAGCACAAATTACAATTCAATCACTTTCAACAGTCTGAAAAATCATAGAGCAGGACATGCAGCTAAGCTTCCAGAGCCCTAATATTTAATTAGGGGCAGGATAAGATCATTTTTTTCAGTAATTAATCAAAATACTATTATATCTAGAATTCTTTATAGTATAATATTACTTAGACGAATCTCAACTTACACATTCACGTGTTTAGATTCGTTTAATACGATACAACATATATGTTGTATAGTAAAGAATCCCACTCCATTTGTCCCATGCCTAAAATAATTTGAAGAATTGAAAGCTCACCAAACCAAACGGTCCAAATGTTACTCTACCTTTCCCCAATAGAAAATATCTAATTTGTCAATTTGTACATCTCTTGTGTGCCACACAGAACTCTTTTAAGTAATTATATGTGGATGGCCACGAGTAGATCTTTAGTCCCCTGGGACCTTCAACTTTAGCAATGGTGGAGCACACGAGGTAAGAGAAAACTCTCTCTCTCTCTCTCAAAATTCAATTCGGCCAAGAGAGGACCACATTTTATATCAAGAGGCCAATTGATTTGGTGTTCTATGGTCCCAAAATGTTCATGATAACACCAAATCTAAAGTAGTCATTATTCATTCTCTCCCTTATCCTTTGTGATCAAGTTGATGCCTTCAACATATTTCTATCTTGTTGGAATCCTTCCAACATTTTTTCTTTTTTCTTTTTTAATTTTTTGGATTAAAGATTAATTCTCCCTCCCATCCACTAATGTCCTTAAGACCTAAAGAAAAACAAACATTCCAAATGGTAATCTCTCTCTCCCACAAATAGTCCAATATATATATATATATATATGCATCTTATATCTATACTACATCTTGATGCAAGCACATCTTTCTTGATATAGTAAACCCCATTATGTAGTCTGATTCAGTTTCATAAATCCATAATACTTCCATTTTACAGTTCAGGGTGTGAAAAGAGAAGAGAATCATATTTGGTTCGCAATTGAGTAAAGTCCAAGCTGAAATAAGGCGTCAGTATTGAGTTCCATATTTGGTTTCAACATATTTATGTGTTGTGTGGTCTACATGATGGTGAAACAATACCACCTGCATCGCCTCCTCCTGGACTCCGAACTATCGTCGGCCCTGCCAACCAACAGATCAAGCCGGACTGCGGGCCCATACGCCGGAAATGACAACTTCGACAACAACATGGTCATAATTCTAGCAGCCTTGCTGTGTGCATTGATATGTGCTCTTGGGTTGAACTCAATTGTGCGTTGTGCTCTACGGTGTACCCCAAGGTTTGGGTTTGAGACTCCAGATCAGGTTGGTGCCCGTTTAGCGTCGGTGGGGCTGAAGAAGGATGCGGTGGGTCAGATTCCGGTGGTGGTGTATAATTCCGGAGTCAACATTGCGGCAACAGACTGCCCAATTTGCCTTGGAGAATTCGGTGAAGGAGAGAAGGTCAGAGTCCTGCCCAAATGCAATCACAGTTTTCATGTAAAGTGCATAGACACATGGTTAGTGTCACACTCATCGTGTCCAACATGTAGGCAATTGTTGTTTGAACATCCATCGAGTTCTAATATAGAGGTGAGTGTCAGAATTTAGTCATTGACGGTTTGTTAGACTATTCCAAATGGTTAGGAAAAGACTTCACGTTTGGAAGCGCTAGATCGGTGTATTGAAATTCTCCGGTTACAAATTTAAACCTCCGATTCAATGCTTTCAAAACATTAGTTGAGTTGAGTTGCAGTCGGATTTGAGCTTGGCTATGGTGATCAGAGTTCGTAGGTGAGTAAATTTAGCTGATAGGAGATGTGCAAAACCTTAGTGCAGAGGCTTAGTTCTGTTTATTGAAGAATTTGTGTGTTGATGATTTGTTAAAGATGTCCAAATACATTATAGCATGTCACTAGTTCACTTGTATACATTTTTTTTTTTTTTTTTTTTGTTGTTGTTCTTTTTTGGCTTTCAATTCCTTATTAATCATAAGACTTTACCGTTGATAAATAATTATAGGACCAAAAAAAAAAAAAAAATTGCATCAATAGAAGATGAAAATTTTGATACTTTAAAGCAACTCCTCTAGTCTGAGCTTTTATTTTCCAGACATATATCGGCCATTGACAGGCTAACTCTGCCTCAGATCAGAATATTTCAGGCAATCAAAGGATCTAAAATTGTTCCAACTTCGAATGACCCATTAAGTGATGACAATTTGCCCAAGTACCTCAATTCCATCTCGAATTAATGACTGTCTTTGTGGGTTTAAACTTGTTTGCTTGCTCTGTTTTGGGCAGTCTCATAATCTTGTTATTATTTGGGGTAAATTTATTAATCTCATTTCATCTATGAAGGTGGTAAATATGTATATATATGAAGTGTTTCTCCCAAGTACCTGAATTTAAATAGTAAAATTGAACCCAAAGAAAAAATATATATTAAATCTTTTAATAAATGAATCTCACATATCAAATAAAAATTGGTGACGGATATTTTTCAATTCACAAAATACATGTATTTAAATGAACTCAAAGTCAATTTCACAATGTCCATAAGAAAAAGAAAAATAAAAATCAAACTACATTGGTCACAAAAATGTTCATATAAAATACGGAGTTTTTGAACTCCTATCCTTCTACCAACAGGTAAATGGTGCATGATTATGATTATTATTTTTTTAGTTATTAAAATACAAAATATGTAAAATTATTTTATTGTGACATGAATGTTACCATTCAAAATAAGAAAATAATATATATATATATATATATGATCCAATACATCTAATCCTCTTGAACTCTGTAATGACTTGAGTACGGTGATCTAGCTTTTGTGCAAGCCCATGCTCACTCGGCCTAAATCAATTTTCTTTTATTAATTTATTTTTTTCTCTCTTTTTTTTTTTTTTTTCTTTTTTTTTTCATTTTTGGGAATTACCCTGCATGTCCAATCAGGTGTCATTTAACGTATCTTTCTACAATTTAGGCTGTGGCAACGGGAAGGAGAGAAGGGAAAGAATTTGCAATTCCGACCTTCCATTCCTTCCCTCCCTCCCTCCCTCCCTCTCTCCTCTCCTCTCCTCTCTGCAATGAGGAAAGGAAGTAATTTCTATCAGAAAACTCAAAATTGATCTTTTTTTTTACCTTTACGCCGTGGAAACTGGAAGAAGCAGGGGAAAAAGAATTCATTGGCAATTCCGTCCTCTGTTTCATCACTGCAATGAGGAAGGAAAATAATAGACATATGGGTTAGGCAATGTCGACGGAAATGCAAAACCCAGCAAGCCCTAACCTCAATAACCCCAATTCCAATTCAAACTCCTCTCAACACGCTTCCAATTACCCATCACCAACTACAGCTACCGCACCCCCATTCCCAATTCACCATGCCGCCGTCTTCAAAGGGTCCCAACACCGGAGAACTCACTCCGACCTCGATTACCGGATTCCCGACGACGAGATGGGTTTTTCCGGCCGACCCTACAATGGGTCTTCCTCGGCCAGCGTGGAGGAGGCCGGGTCCGTGGACGAGCTGTTTGCCACGTATATAGATGTCGAGAAGCTTGGGGAAACCGAAGGGAGCGGCAGCGGCAATTCGGCGGAGCGGAATGGTTGCAGCGGCGGTGGTGGTGAGGGAGAGAAAAATATGAGTAGGCACATGAAGCATGGCAATTCAGTGGATGGGTTGTCGAAAAGAGGACAGGGCGCGTTTGGTGAAATAAGGGAGTCCAGGAAAGCAATTCCTCCTGAGCAATTGGCTCAGCTTTGGTCAGTCGATCCTAAGCGAGCAAAGAGGTTGGATTTTTTTTTTTTTTAGTTTTCATTTGGTTTGAGATTTTTGTGGAATTAACAATATTATTAACAATGGTAATGTTTAAATTACATGTAACCAAACCAAAAAAAAAAAATTCATTAAAGTTCAAATGTAGCTTTTACTTTTTATTGACGACAAAAAAAAAAAAAAATGAATCCCTCTGTCCTCAATCTTGTATAATTATATATAACTATCCGAATCATCCTATTCTTTGATGATGATAAAGAAGCACCTGGATTAGATCAGCCCAAAAAAAAACAGAAAATCCCTATTGGTGGGTCACATTGAAATGGTTATACAATTTATGGTCAATTTGTAATTTACGCTCTTATTCAATATATTTTTTTTATTATCTAGTATTATAATATTGTTGCTAGAAATAACCTAATTAATATAGCTCTGAGTGACTATTTTTTAAGAAGAGAATGAGATATAATAAAGGGAAATTGTGTTGAATGTGCTCCAAATCTTGTCTATGCAAGACAAACTTCACTTGTTTGTGAAATTTGACCTACAAAGTTATTTATCTTATGACTTGTATTAGCTTGGAATAAAGTTTCTGTTTTGAATCAGGTCCAACTGTACAAGTAGTTTCTACTACCATTGTCTACCTCTAAAACTAGCATACACAAGTTATAGGATTTTTAATTATATGTTGAATGAGAGTAAATTCTTTATATGCAAGCTTATGTATTGATCTTCATAAAAGCATATCACTTGCTAATATGAATATCATGCATTTTTGGAGTTTCTGCTCATGTGTTGGTGTGTGAAATTCAGAATTTTGGCAAATCGACAGTCCGCTGCCCGCTCAAAAGAGAGGAAGGCTCGTTATATTGTAGAACTCGAGAGAAAAGTTCAGACCCTTCAAGAAGAAGCCACCACACTTACTGCACAACTCACATTATTCCAGGTATGTCTTGACAGATTAAGTTTGTAATATGTTTGTCCAAAATTGGTTTATTTCATTATGAAAATTGCAGTTTATTCTGAATTTGTAATACTTTATTTTACCTCAATTGTGATTTACATACACACACTACGCTCCGTCTGTTGATGCATTCTTGCTTTCTCATTTAGAGAGACACGGCTGGCCTGACTACTGAAAACACAGAACTTAAGCTTCGGTTACAAGCCATGGAGCATCAAGCTCGGTTCCGTGATGGTAAGTTCATGCAAACTTCAGTACTATTTTGAAGATTACAAAAAGTAAAAAACAGTTGCTTCCTATTGCATTTTTCTTGAATGTGCATGTGTTGGTCTGCGAGGGGCATTTCCTTTTGTATGGAAAGTTAGTAACATTTTATTATGTTCTTGCCAGTGGTGAAGATAAGCATCTCTTCCATTGTGTGTGCATGTATGTGATTAATGTTATATTTATTTTATTATTACTTCCATTGTTAATTAAGCAGATCTAGAACTGCTATTATGACTATGAAAAGTGACATTCTAATTTGATTTTTTTTTTTAATTTAGTGATTACATTGAGGTTTACCTTCTGGTCTTGCACAACAAACTTATATATCAGTGGTGGACTCTCATCAGTTCTCTTTTACAGCGGTAGATAGATATTTGAATGTCTAATATATGTTGACCAGCTTCTTGAACATGATGAGTTCATGCAATTTTATCCAGCAATCTGTTTTTTGGACAAACTTCATGAACATATGGATGTTAGATTTTTTAAATAAAATTTTTGGTTCATTTTAATTGATTTTACTGGGAAATTTTGATTATTATGATGAATTGTTATGCACACAGCTCTGAATGAAGCACTGAAGCAAGAAGTTGAACGGCTGAAGATAGCTACTGGGGAATTAGTTGCTCCCTCGGAATCATTGAACTTGGGGATGCACATGCAATACAGCCCCTCAGCCTCACCATCAACCCTTTTCTCACTTCCACAACAACCAGCACCTGTTCTTTCCCAGTTGCTGCCATTTCATAGTGACCAGCAGCACGTCGTGCTACCTCACCACCTGCATCCAGAACATTCCCAGACCCTCGAAATTTTACAGAACGATCCTCTCAGCTGCTTGCAGGGGCTAGATATCAGTAACAGAGGATCACAAGTCGCGGAGACTGAAGGTTCTTCACTTTCTGCTAGTGAAAGTAGCTCCACCACATCGTAAAAAGCCAACAATTGGTGAAAGTAGCTCCACCACATAGTAAAAAGCCAACAATTGGTCGAGGCGGTGCCTTCACAATAAAACTGTCTATAGGCTTGCATCAATACAAATAGAGAAGGTACAATTCTTTTGTATCATTTTTTTTTGGCTCTGCGTGTATATCTTGCTGGGATCAATTCTTAATTCTTTTATTCTTGGGGTTTTTCACAAGAAAGGAAGCGTCCTTAAGTTTTATTCACTGCGCTCACCAGTTTTCTTCGTATTTGACATGGAATTTTGTTTTTTTTTTTTTCTGGAACTGAGCTAGCAAAAGTCGTTTACATGATGCCAACCCAACATATCTTGTTGGAGTGTGTAAACTTCATGTAATTACCATTGTTCTTTTGTGAGGTTTGTTGAAGTGTATTGAACCATCATAGATCATTCCAACAATGATGATGTATGTTTCATTGTTACCCCATTGCGAAAATTCCCTTTTAGATTTGAATTTAAAGTATTATCAGTTGGTTTTTAACTCGTGCCACTATCCATGTATCTAAACCACAAAACTATTAATTCACCATGCTCTTTCTGCTTTAGACATGCACACTCTACTATGTAATGATTGAACCGTTTCAAATTTTCGAAAAAACTAGTCTTCAATTGTTCAAATTAGAGTATAGAGTGAAAGTGCTGAAGCGAGCAGGCATTAATGTTATTATTATAAGAGTATTAATGAAAGTGTTTACGAAAATTTAAAAGGATGCTTACCTATATATAGGTATCCGAGTTTTATTTTCTAGAATTCCCCACCTAAATATATTCAAATCTACAAACTCTTACTCTTCTATAATCTTCTCCAATCTTCTCCAATTTATCATTTTTTACGAACTCTTCAATGTTCTAGAATTATTTATATCTCTTTTGGAAATATATATAGCATAAGAGAAATTTAAAATAAAGAGTATTGAAATGAAAATATACGTGTCATTGAATTTTTAAAAGGCAGCTTTTAAACAAAACAATATTATATGTGAACATACTCTTTTTTTTTAACATTTTTGAAACAAGAAAAGAGAATTGTGAACACATACTTTACTATACTTATACCGTATTTTAACTCTTTTTTTTTTGATAAGGTAATCTTTATTATGATAAATATGGTAAATTGTATTTTTGTTTTTTTTTTTTTTTACATAGGAAATTGTTTGTTGATCAAACTAATCTCAAGTTAAGCGAAAAAGCCTCTTGACCTAGCTACCTATAACCACCGCCTAGTGTGGCTAACCGCTTCTATCCGACTCACAAGTCACAAGTGTGAAACTAGCTAATGCTACTTATTTCCAACGTTTAGAATCAATCATATTCACCCCTCTACTATTTGGTTCCCTGAGGTTCGATTTTGACCAATGAATTGAGATGTACTAAATAATTTATTTAAATTTTTTAAAATATCAAACAATTATCTCAACTTAGTAAATAAATAATAGGGTGAAGTGCAGAAAACTCCTATTTTAAAAGTGTGCTAATAATTTCCTATTCTTTGAACATTATACGAAAACACCCGTTTAAACACAAATCTAATATAAAATAATGTTACAATGCTTTTACTCTTTTGAAAATGTCCAAAAGGATGTGTACGCTAATAATCACATAGTAGAAGGTTGTTATGTGCACATTAATAATCTCAGTGGTTTAATTCATTAAGCCTATACTTCTTAAACTTAATCTAAAAAGTTTTGTGGCTACGTTTTTCATTTTGTTGGGTATTTACATGAAATAAGGCTAGATTTGATCCTATTATGAGAGAAAGATTGTTCCTTGTATGTACAGAAAGCAAAGAAGCAAAAATCAAGACAAGAAGAGACTATAAAAATCCACTTTTCGGAAACACCAAATGAAACGGACAAAAGATTGTGCCAGTTATAAGTCAGACATTGATTAAATTTTCAACCTCTTCAAAATTAAACAAAAATGTTGAAGGTTCTCTACTAAAACAGCCAGCAGAACACAACATTCCTCAACTTTCATGAACCCACCGCTGCTTATACATATTTGGAAGCAACAAGCAGATGGACTTTCATAGATAAATCATCACATGATTTCCATACTTTCTTTTTTTTTTTTTTGATAAATAAAATATATTAAAAGAGCGTTCAAAAGGGAAACGCGTCCATACTTATTCAAAGGTACATTTTATTTTTTTTATTTTTTTTTTTTGGGAAGATTAATGTATCAGTCATGGAAAGGATTATACAATAAAATGACGATTACAAAGTATGATATTCACTAATTCATTATTCTATTTTTTTTATTATTATTATTATTATTTTTCTAGGGAAGGATTCAGACTAATTTTTGGAGGTTTTTGTTGGATTGAGCATATAGGTTTGTTGCAATATCCTAGCAATTCATTCAATTTCTTTTGAATCCTTGCAATTCATTGAGCCTGTAAGCTTTTTGAGACTGTTTTGAGCATCAATGGAGGTCCAAAGGTGGTTTGGAGGTTATGGCCATCAATGGAGGTTTGAGGTGAGGTAAGGATGAAGAATTTTTTTGGAAAGGAACAAAAATGGAGCAAAAGAAAGACAGAAGGGTCGCCGCCTGACCATAGTCAGATAGTGGCAACCCTGCCTGACCAAAGGTCGGCGACCATGGTCACTGTTTTCGGCAACTGTGGGTCGCTGGACCTCCATGCTTGAAAGCTCTCTGATTTGTGCCGCACCAGACCCAGCGCTCATGTTAAAATATTATTTTGACAAAAAACAAGTTAAAATAATATTATCCTTTTTGATCATTTCACAAAATAATTCTTTAAAAAATACTACTAATATGTAAAAGGATAATTTGGATGGAACCTATTTGCACAAAGTGAAACTTCAGGGATACTTTCTCCACGTGTGGGGTACGAGACGCAGTGTAAGCACTTTGCCCTAAATAATATGAAGAACTCAGGACCCTTCTAATGAGGGAGCTCTAGCGAGAGCATTCCTCTAATTAGTGCATTTTTTTTTCCCCAAAGTAGTATGTTAATTTAACAGAGAGTTCTTCAGAAGGGTCATGAGGTAGAAGGTCAATAGGTTGTACACATATTAGAGGAGACAAAATACAAAGTTCTGAACTGGTCCGAAGAGGTCCTATTTCTCCTACTCCTCCTTAACATCAACACAAAGCCCTTGAATCTGAGCCGTTCATTCAAGTGACGGTCAATCATCACACAGTTGAGGGGATTAGCATTGGAGTTGCTTTTAATGTTATTTTTGCAGACTGGATTCTTTACCCTCTAATGTGAGCCTTCAGGTTGTTCTATAGTGGAGTGATGGGTTCTCTCACGGCATGGAGGTTAGAAGTCCATCGGGCAGTATGAAATGGAAGAAATGAACCTCTGTGGACTGAACAGGCCCCTAAGTTTGAGATCTATACAACTTGTCGATACATAATGAGTTGCGGGATAAAGAAGAGATATTGCAAAACAGACCTATACACAAAAATATACAAAACATATAAAAAGCTGCAGACCATAAACAAAAAACGCAAACCATGATTAGAAGAGTCAATACCGAGTCATGTTTTCTCCATTTCTCTTTCAAATCAACCTGAACAAAATAACTTCTCATATTAGTACACGACTATACGGGAAAAAAAATGATTTATTGAAGCAAACCATCCAAAATTTTCACCTCAGTCCGCTCTTCAAATTTGTCAACATAGGAATTTAGCATAGACAAAAAGATACAAAACGCTAGAGACTATGATTAGAAGAGTCAATAACGAGTCATGTTCCTCCACTTGTCTTTCAAATCAACCTGAACAAAATAACCTCTCATATTAGTACAATAAAAAACAAATGTTGAAGCAAATATAGGGATTTCAATACCAAAAAAAAAAAATACAAATGTTCGAAACAGGAAATTCTATACCGCTGTCCTCTCTTCAAATTCATCAGGATAGGATTTTAAGATGATCGCCCAGTTTCCTACACCATACCTTCAAAAACAACATATACTCAAATGAGTGTTAAAATTAACATACTCAAAAAAACAAAAAACAAAAACAAAAGAACATTACTAGAATTTTTTTACAAAAGTAAGTCACATACTTCGCCACACCAGTCCTCAATGTGTCTTCTTCTACTAGACTCCATTTCTTAGCTTTTCTCCTCTTCGATAATTTTGGCATTTCATACTTCTTCAAAGGAGAAACAATCCTTCTATTTGGGCTGGGTAAGTGAACTCTATTCTGACCATCAGGTGACCCTTCAGATAAATTGTCAATAGAATCATCCCACTGCAAAAATAAATAAATTGTGTTAATATATATTTATTTCCAATATTATATAAATTAACACAACCGATGTTACGCAACCTTTTAAAGGAGAAAACATGCCCAGCAATCACTACATCCTTGAAATTAAAGCTGATCCAACAAAATTCCCAACCATGAAAGTGCAACACAACTATTTTCTATTTCTATTTCTATTTCTATTTTTATTTTTTGTGCATGTGCGTCTGTGTCATAGGTTTAGTTCACGCAGTTATTGTTGATTTTTTACCCAAGGGAACATGCACCGGATTATCTTTTCATCCATAGATGTATGCAACATATTTCAATATAACTTCCTGAAAGCATTAGAAAAACGGAAACCATATCAGATCAGATGTCAAGTATCACCATGGGTACTTTAATTACTCTTTTGTAGGCTTTGTCCGCCATCAGGATGTTGTTCACACTTCATATTTTGGCTTATTACCTTCTGTAGAAAAAAAAAATTCTACCTATTTATTACTAAAATCTTGAAATACACAATTTCATAATCATTGTTGCACAAATGGCCATGAGAAATAAATAGCAGGCCTAGTATTCGAGACAATCTACCTAATAAACCATAAACATCAGATAGAAAGGATCTTATCCACCAATATCAACCTGTCCCTATTGACGTTGTCTTGATTAATAGCTACTACGGAGTACTACCTTTATATGTGGATCCGTTAGTGTGTTGAGTCAAGTGAATCCAGACTAAATCTAATGCTAGTTGTCTGCTATTGTGACAGGGACAATTTGAAATTGAGTAAAGCTCATAACGAAGGTATCGAGAAATTGTAACATGGAGTTCTTAGCTATTATGTTGCTTTGAATGTATGATAATGCAATAAGTAATGCTTAATGATTGAAAACACTGTCTTGTTACTTTCGATAAAGAACCATGCTGGTTACCATAATGAATTACCAAAATTTCCCCATGGTAGTACTGATATTGGTAAGACGATATCGGTGATCAGGAAATAACTGTGTAAAAATGAGAAGTAGGGTTACAGCATATTTATTACAGGCTCACGGCACACAAATTTAAAAAATTGAACATGTGGGAGGATGGAACATATGAGTAGACTAGATTCCAAAACAAAGGAAATTTCTCTCTTTCTCTCTCATAGGTAAAATCTAAACCGGGAAGACAGGCCAGATTTAAAATAAATCTTTATTAAGGGGGTGGGTGAGGCTGGGGAAGGATTAGTGGATATCTCAAGTCTTGGAAGGAGTGACTTCTGTTAATATTGTTAAATCTTTTTAAGCCTAAGCAGTGTCATTTGGCATCTTTTAGTTTCACGTGTAGGTTAACAGTCCCGTAGTTAAATTGTCTTGGCTTGATCTTCTGATGTTCAGATTATAAATCAGCCTGGTACACATAAAAGGATGAACCACATATGAGGTTTCTCGGATTATGGTAGCAACATCCAAGAGAAGCCTTTTGCTTTTGCGAACATAATAAAATAAAATTAAAAATAGTGTTGCTTTATGAGCTTTGAGAAAATTTTAGAATTATATATGATAAATCCATGCAGATGACTCGTAGTCCAAGCTGCTTCTATTGTTGGATTGCATATGCTACCACTGTCAATTGTCATGCAAACTCTGGACTTTTGAGATACAAAAAAAAAAAAAAAAAATTGTATATACTTCTAGAGGAACTGATGTGAACAGCTTGTTTCTTGGATTGGTACTGTAATCTGCAAACGAGCTAATTTTGAGATCTCATAATTCCCCAAACACATGCAAATGGAACTCCACGTTGTTCACTAACACATGCACCCTCATGCCAAAGACAGATTATTGCATACACACGCTTGCAGCTACAATCAGAGATTCACAAAGATTCTCAAACCAAAGCCCAAAAGATAAACTCCATCAACAGCTCAGCATATAATTGTGTAAAATATAAACATTAAAAACTTATATGGAATTTAGAAGAATTGAGAACCAAATAAACAACCTAAGACATAAAATATAACGCAGCAAGCAGAAAATTACAGGTAATATTAATGAACATACTCAAATCAACTCAATAAAATCTCTGCCAACAACTTGGGATCGATTATGAGAATCCTATTCTTCCATTCTTTACTAGCTAACTCTACCCATGTTAATTTTGGTCTTCCATTACCCAAATGTAATCCTCAAGGTGGACCATATCACTCTTCCTAATTGGTATTTTCCTTGCACATGTCCGGACCAGCTTAATCATTTTTTTCTCATTTTATTTCAAAGGTAATAATTCAGCCATTGCACAGATGTGTTCATTTCAAACCTACCATTCTTGTCTTGCACACACCCATCTAAACATTCACATTTCCTTGACACACACTTTATGCATATGTTGTTTCTTAGCTAGGCAACATTTTGTTCATCTTTAATTTTCTATATATACATGCTATCAAAAATTTGCTCAAAAGACCCACTTACCATTAGACTTAAAACAAATTTAGAACAAAAAGAACAAAAACAGGAAAACATTACCTCATAAGTGCAAGCAGTACCATTCCGTGACATTAAGCTGGGCCTAGGCGCCTCATTCTGATGGCTGCAACACTGATTCCCAATGTTACCTTCATTGGCCTCAGCAACTTCAGCACTCTTGTCAACAGAGGTATTCACAGCATGTACATCAACCTTATTCTGATTTTCTACCATAGGCTTGTGGTTCATCTTTCCTCTTTGCATTATTATAGCTTCAGCAAGCTTTAATGCATCAGGAAGAGGGTCTTTCACCATAGCTTGTAGCTGCAAAGAACTGGATCTGAGCTCTTCTTGTATCTTATTAACTATAATGGTAGGGGGGCAATCATATTTGTTGTATGTCGTCCCTGAGTCTGATTCCACATTATCAGTAATATGAACTCCTCTAGCTGTTTTCGAGATTGGTCCTCTAGAGCATCGACCAGTGGCATTCTTGCGTTTATGAAGCGTGTTACCCTTCTGCATTTCTGAAAAGTGAACAAGAACCCTCAATTCAGAAATATAAATGCAAAACTCATAAATTCTAGAAAGAAGCCTGGTAAAATAAAACTCTTACCAACAAAATAATCACAGGAGCACAACCACAATCGTGTTATGTAAAGACATACAATTAACCATTCCATGCCAGAAAATTGATTGCTTTGACATCATAACAGATTGACACGAGAATAAAACAAAAAAGCATGAACCTTCAAAGAAGGTGGCATTTTACTTTACTTTACTTCCTTGCAATATATAATGATCAATGAAAGAGTAAAACCCACAGGTAACCAAATAATAAGAAAGAGAAAGAGTATAATATATCCAACAGATAATTGAAGTTCAAGAGATTCTTAATTATATATATATGACCATAACGAATTCAACCTAGGGCATAACACAGCCATACATAATGTTATGTGTGACTCAAATGAATTATTCATCAATAATCATACAAGTTGATGGTGTAAAATGTAAAATTTAAGACAATGCTGAAACTAACCCCTAAAACAGTAACAATTTTGAATAAATAAGTTTATATAAATGGGATTACCTTTCTCGCCCTTCTTGTTGTGGTCTGCATCTGCCAAACTTGTCACTCTCTCCCCAACTTTGTTCATGCCCAGCACCTTCAGTTTATCATAACCCATTGTTTGGGCAACCAGTTCAAGAAATGGAGGACCCATGCTTGCCCAGACTTCTGCGACATAAACTCGAACAGCCTCCACAGCATGGTTCCCTTCCTTCCTCTTTCGCAGATTTTCACGAACACTCGCATCCCAAATTGCAGCCTCTAGCTTATCCCTCCAACTCCGAAGTTCATCCGACACAAACCCTATATTCTCCCATTTCTCTATCTCCCGGAACCTATCCCTCCAGATTCTCTTGACTGCGTGAAAATAGCCCCACTCTTCGTCCTTGTTGCCGTCGAGAAACCTCGCCGTACAGTCCACCGCCACCGCGCAGTATGCAGCTTTCATGGCCTCTGAAGCCGCAATTCCCTCTTCGTAGTCCAGCTGTTCGATGAGTTCGAGCAATTCGAGAACTTTTTCCGAGACCGAGACGCTTTCGATCTCCGACTCGATCCTTCGCACAAGGATTGTCTTCTTCAAACTCGGATGGTCGTCGGACAGAGGAAGGGCTCCAACGAGAGTATTCAGTAAGCAGTCATCGATGGACTGCCTAAAGAGGAATTCGAGAACCCAACGAGCGATGTCCATGTCCATTGTCGATTCAATAACTGAACCCCAGAAAACCCTGATCCGTTTGTAAAACGGAAACTATGGTTTCATGCTATCATCTCGTGTCTGTTAGATAAAGAGGAAAGTAACAAGGGATTTTTACTTGCAAAAAAAATAAATAAACAAATAAAATAAAATAAGAAATTTTTACATATAAATGAGATTAATACCCATACCTACAAACTTTTATAATTTTAAAAAAATTAATTGGACCAAATGACTGGGCACATAAAGTTTTACTGTTTTAAAATTGTATAGTCTAAAATACCCTTTTTCAATATTAAGTACATTTACCTTATTGCCCTTATTTCCTCATCCATTTTACATTATTGCCACCCTCACATCTAGGGCAAATCATTTCAGCCTCCATCGCTATTCTCGTTCTCAGCCCTGAACTTAACCCCCCCCCCCCCCTCCCCCCTCCCCCCCTCTCTCTCTCTCTCTCTCTCTCTCTCCAATTGCAAACTGCAAAATCTACCGGAATCAGAAGTTCAAAACCCTTTTTATTTCCTAACCCAATTTAAGCTATTGGAGGAGCCCTAACCCTCACATTAATCCATTCGTACAGAGCCCTCACCCTTAGATTCAATCTCTGCAGGTTAGATTCTAACGTAGATTACGGTGATTACCTGCAGAATCCATTTGTTGCTTTCCATATAAAATAAAAAAAAAAAACAAAAACAAAACAAAACAAATATAGAAATAAAAAATAAAAAATAAAATTATTATTTGTTTTGCTGAAATAAAATGTATATTAAGGTGATTACCTCAAAATGCAATGCAATTTTTGTTACTTCATATTGAAAAAAAAAAAAAAAAATCATATAAAAAAGATCACAAAAATTTCACCAAATAGGATTTAGTTTGCAAAACAAGAATTACAGACCTTAATTAGTTGATTTTATTAAAAATTTAAAACAAAACCCATACATACAAGTTAGCAGTTACAGAGAGAGAGAGAGGGACAAGCTTGAGAGTTGAGAGACAGCGGGCCAGCGGCTGAAGCTTGCGAACGGCGAACCCGAACGGGAACAGCGGGCGATTGGAACTGAAAGATATGGGTTTTGATTTTTTGATCAATCTGAAATGATATGCCAATATGGGTTTTGATATAGGTAATAGGTTTTGAACTTTTGATTCTTGCAGACAAATTGATAAACTGAAATATATGGGTTTTGAACTTCTAATTCTTGTCGATTTTGTAGTTTGCTGTTGCAGAGAAAGAGGGGGGGGGGGAAGTTCAGAGGTGAGAACGAGAATAGAGATGGTTCGGAGTTGGGGGAGGCTGAAATGATTTGCCCTATATGTGAGGGTGGCAAGAAGGTAAAATGGACAAGGAAATAAGGGTAATAAGGTAAATGTACTTAATATTAAAAAGGATATTTTAGACGACACAAATTTAAAACAGTAAAATTTCTAATGCCAAGTCATCTTTTCACTCAAATTCATTTTTTTAAACTATAATCAATGAGTAAATATGTGGGCTTAACCTTATTTATATGTAAAAATCCCAAGTAATAACCCTAATCTTGGAATTCGGAAAAGACCACCGGGACTGACTATTCCAGCTTTGAAGAAGTTTTGAGAATAGTGTGATATACTCGCTTCGTAACTCATAATTTTATAATTTTTTATTTCTTGTAATTTTGTTTGAGTGGCACTTTCTATATATATTTTTTATTTTTTTATTTTTAATTATTTTAAAGCATGTTTATGTTTATTTTGTATTTTAATTTCAATCAAAGGATTTAAACGTAAAGTTGAATTGTATAATATTCCGTAATATATACTTTATATATTATATTATATAAAATATAATTTATAGAGTGATATTAATACATATAATAAAACAAAAGTTTTTTCTTTTTTCTCTTGACTTGTTGATTTGGCGCTAACTTAGTGATAGTGATCATAAAACTATGTTAGGGAGGTGGTGTTAATCATCACTGTTAAACACAGGGGCGGAGCCAGGATTGCACAGTGGGGAGGGCTAAAAATAATTAAACTCATGATTACTTAGTATGTCATCCATGCACTAAATACATAATTATCATGCATTTACACTTCCAAATTCTAACATATTTTCACAATAAAAAATCCATTGAAGTTTGTTTCATACAAGTATTAAAACAAACAACTACAAGAATGCAAGATATATATGTTCCTTATCAATAAATTCACATTAGAAAGTAAGACCTATGTGCTCCACCCCTGACTAGTTATTAATCCATTATTTAGTAAATTTACCCAATTTAATAAGAAATTATCAAATCATCAACAAAGCCCTTTTTTTTTTAAACAAAAATAAAATTCAATATTTCACTGGATTAACAATAATAAGCCAGGATATTCATCCACCTATGCCTTAGTGCCTTACACACAAAGAGTTTCAGTCTTCTTCCATAGACTAATAATGTGTTTGATTTGTTGGGCTTTGGCCTTTGTAAATTTTATAACTCTTTTTATTTATAGAAATACTATAGATTGGGTTAGGCTGATAGGAAGAGAATTAGCAGTACATGGGCTTATGGGAACAATAGTACTAAATTTTTTTTTTTCAATTGGACCTGGGCTATAGCCTAGGTTAGCCCATTACTAGTTCCTCCCTTTAGACACTCACTGAATGTCATCGTGAGAGAGTACTTGGAGAGGATTTTTTCCCACTGAATGAGATTCCTCAATTAATTCCTTTTTATTCTTTTGGATTTAAATTTAAAGAGGAAGTAGTAATAACTAATACAGTAAGTACTACATAATATTAAAAATTTATTTTCTAAAATTAAATGAAATAATTTTGGAGTAAACATTTTTTCTAAAATTAAAAAATGTATGCATAAACTCTGTTTTATTTTATAGAGTGAAAAATAAAAGAATTAAGTGCAAAAAACCCCTTCTACTATTGATATAGTGCAAAAAGGTTCTGTGTATTAAAACCCCCTATACTATCAATTTGGTGCAAATAGGTATCTGTGTGGTATAAAATGACGATAATACCCTCACTTCAATAAATAAATTAATAATTATAAATACAGGCCATGTAAAATGACCCTTTTGTCCAATTTGTGTAAAATTGTGTTTCTTTGGAACAAGAATATAATAAACCTCAATTTGTATAAAATTGGGATAAACTAAATCAAAAAAACTTAAAATTAGATATAATAAAAACTGAAACCAAACATTCCTAGCAAACTGGAATTGGACTCGAACAGAATAAAAGAAATACAGAAAACCATAACTGAGAAAAATCAGGACAAATATACATACATCCAAATATAGGAGTCTTAGGTGTGCATCAATGCAACTGAAGTCGCACGATGAACCCAGTGAAGCCAATCAATTAACCTTAACATATTAAATAATCCATTCGAGAACAATAAGCTACAACTTTAAATATTTGATTTACTTATGTTTTAACAAGAAAAAAAAGGGGAAAATCCTTCAGAAATTTCGACAACAAAATATAGGAAGGGAAAGACACGCTAAACAAAGAAACTGTTATCCCAGTAATTCCCATCCCATTAAATGTAAAAAAGGCGACACCAAAACTGATAAATATATCCTAAGATAAACCAAGTCACTGGGAAACACCCAACCACTTGGTGAAGTTATCAAACTCGATAGAATCACCGTCTGAGATCATTGTGTTTGTGCCACGCCTTGCTAGCAGCCTTAATAGAAGTCATCTCCTCCTAAAAAGAGGCAAGGAAAAAATGGAGTCAATAAAGATTCAACAGCATTCTAGTTTCTATAAAACATGAAGAACAGTATATTAATACAATTGACATTCGTTTATGGTACATGGAAGAAAGTGGGGGCTAATATTAAACTAGTATAGGAATTAATATATATATATATATATATATATATATATATATATATATATCTCATAAGACACTTAATAATTTTCTAACCATAGAGAGAGGAGGGGGGGGGGGGGGAGAGAGAGAGGCAGTAAATGGGTATGGGTTAAATGCACAAATGGGTGAGGGGCAAAATGGGAATCAAAAGGGTAAAATAGGGTTTCATATTTAGTTTTTTGTCAAAAAATGATCAGAGGGGTTTATTTGCACATTTTTTGAATTTTATGGACTAACATGCACATTTTTAAAAAGTATAGACTAGTTTTGCACATGTTTATTAGGTTTTACTTTTTGAAGGAACAATTGTGTTATTTTATTTGGGTAAATTACACTGACCTCCCCTGAGGTTTCATCAATACACGATCAATCCAACTGATGAGTGAACGCCCTCATCAAGGCATGAAAAGGTGAAACCCTAAATCAGAGTTTTGTTTGGACAAAGGTGTCCAAATCTATAAATCTCCAAAAAAAAAAAAACCTATCAGTCAAGTAACATAAATCACCAAAATAGCATATATTACTGCCATTAAACACACAGAGTTCAGAGTTCACATTAGCTCCATTGTTCTACAGAACTCCGGTTCATAAAGTTAAGTCGTCCTTGACTTTTTTAATCTAGAATCAAAACAACGCAAGGCATTAGATTCAATTTTTCTCTCTTTTCTTGCATTTTCTGAGCAACCAAACAGATCGGGAAAAAGAGGAGAACGTAGGTAAGGGGTTACCGAAAGATGATTGAGGTCGAAACTCCATATTTTCTGATTCAATCGTGTAGGGTTGGAGCTGTTGCGACCCTACGCCTTCTTCAATACGTTGCAATAATCCTTAAAAAGACCAAAAATGCATTAGTAAGCCCCCCCCCCCCAAAAAAAAAAAAAAAAGTGAATAAGTAAAGAAAAAACTAAAATACACTAAATTTGGAGATATTTGTAACATTTTATTCAATACTAACTTGAAAAAAAAGACTGTAAGTCTTTATGAAGCAAAGATAGAGATTGATTAATACAAGCTTATGTAAAATGATGCAATCGAACACCTGATTAATGAAAAAAGAAAAAGACGGCTAGTTTGAACTGTTCCATTATACATTGATTTAATATAATTTATATGCAAATTGAAAAGATAGATGCATATTAATTTAGCTAATCCGCTAATTGACATGTAGAAAAATCCTTTACTTTGAACTTGACTAATTCCTTTGCCCCCAATATGCTTGTATTGTGTTATTTTACACATGCGTCTTTCTGGATGCCATGACAACACAGTGTGTCTTAAGAAGCTTAACAACCATGCATGAGACTAACCTCGTGAATAAGAAGGCATTATGCATCCTTTGTCTTTTGTGATATGACCTCTAACGCAACTCAAGCAACATCTTGCTCGGTAGCCTTTCGATGAAAAAATGTGCTAGGAGATGTATAGCTTGATCCATCCACTTTGACAGTGGACCAAAACAACAGATAATTTTGAGATCCTTCATTATTCATTTGATATACTGGAAGCTGTATAGCAGATTTTTGTGTGTACTCTTGTAAGCGATTCCTGTACCGTGAGCGTTCTTGGAGATATAAAAAAAATCAAAGCAATTAAATTATTACATAAAGCATATTGAAATAGAGACATATGTATTCAACAAGGATACCAATGGCAAAGTAATGATGCAAAGATGTGTATATCCACATAATCGTACATGCTTACATATTTATAGTGTAATGGACATAAAATCACTATCAACACAAAGACTATTACACTCTAAAGTACTGCTATACTCCACATGTTTATTAGATTTTGACTTTTGAAAGATTAATAGTTTCATTTTTCTCAGATCCACATGTTTATTGGGTTTTACTTTTTAACGGAACAATTGTGTCATTTTATTTTGGGTAAATTACACAGATCTCCCTTGAGGTTTCGTCAATACATGCTCAATCCAACTGACGAGTGAGCGCCAAATCAGAGTTTTGTTTGGACAAAGGTGTCCAAATCTGTATATCTCAAAAAAAAAAAAAAAAAAAAAAAAAAAAAAAAAAAAACCTCTATCTATCAAGTAACATGAATCACTAAAAACACATCTATTACTGTCATTAAACGCATGGAGTTCGGAGTTCACATTGGCTCCATTGTCCTACAGAACTCCAGTTCATAAAGTTAAGTCGTCCTTGACTTTTTTTTTTTTTTTTTTATCCCAAATCAAAACAACGCAAGGCATTAGATTCAATTTTTCTATATTTTCTTGCATTTTCTGAGCAACCAAACAGATCGGGAAAAAGAGGAGAGCGTAAGTAAAGGGTTACCGGAACAGGATCGAGGTAGAAGCTTTGTATTCTCTGATTCAGCCGTGTAGGGTTGGAGCTATTGTGACCCTGCACCCTCTTCAATACG